TTTTTGGGTTGTAGTTGTCATTGTTGTTTGGCAGGCCCAAGCTGGATTCGAACCTGCCAGCTCTGGTGTATGTGGCTGGTGCTTTAGCCCCTTGAGCTACAGGCCTAGAAAACATCCGAACAACAACAATATGCCCATCAACCCTTGAATGGATCAACAAACCATGGTACATGTATAATATATATGCCATGGAATACTATTCAGCCATTTAAAAAATGGAGACTTTACATCTTTTGCATGTACCTGGATGGAGCTGAAACACTTTCTTCCTAGTAAAGTATCAGAGGAATGGAAAAATGAACATCCAATGTGCTCAATACTGATATTAAACCAATATATAAACAATTACATGCTCATGTGAACAATAAAACACAAATATAGTCTAGTATGTGGGTGGGTGGGGGGCATGTGGCGGGATCTCACGTATGGTGCACAGTGTGAGAGTGTATAACACGCCCCCTGGGTGAAGGGCTCTCTACAACTGGAACTTTACCCTGGAAGTGAGGCAATCTAAAAATTTGTACCCTCATATTAATTTGAAATTTTAAAATAAGAAAAAAAAAACCCTACTTAAAAAAACGGAATGAAACACATGAGAAATGGGATTTTGTTAGCAAATTTTCATGAGCATCGGCATGTATTTGCTGTACTAGTGATAACCTGGAAAGGCGTCCAGATGTTGTAACTGTATCAATGGTCCTTTCCTGTAAGTTATAGCACTTTATATTGATTTTTGTCTTTAGATGAAAAAAAAATCGTTGCTAAAATTGAAAAAACAATAAACAACAACAGAACCCCAGAAACTTAAAAAATAAAGTGAATGAGAGACAAAATCTATCTAAAAGTGCACTATAGTATTGGAGAAAAAGTATGAGTATCAAACTTAGGATTAAGTCTTGACTGCATGAACCATTATGTGATTCTGGAAAAACTATGTGGTCTCCCTGATTGTGTGAAAATGGAATAACACCTGCCGTATCAGCGGTTGTAAGGATTAGATTCAGTGCCTGGCACATGCTTAGTGAAAGGCAGCTAGGCACACGCATCCATATTTCTGATATTATAGCAAATGCTCCTTTATGCATAAATGATTTAGTTTATATGTCCCATGATAAAAATCATTCACATCAAGCCAACTGCATTTTAATAAACTTTTACTGCAGAAATGGACTTTAGCAATCATCTAGGACTACGTTTTTAATGGTACACACTTTTATTTATTTAGGACTTATATTTTTAAACTGTGCACAGAGGAAGTCTTAAGCCTGGAAGACTGGAAGGAGGGGCAGCCTCAGAACCCCTGACTCCTTGAACCAGAGTTTTTGATCATTATGTATTAGGCTTTGGCTAAACAGAAGACTTTATTCCAAGTAATAAAGAAACACAATCAGATTGGAAACCACCAACATCCCTCATTATTCAATAAAGAAATGAAGATTTTTTTTTTTTTTTTTTTGTGACAGAGCCTCAAGCTGTTGCCCTGGGTAGGTGCTGTGGCATCACAGCTCACAGCAACCTCCAACACTGGCCTTAAGTGATTCTCTTGCTTCTGCCTTCCTAATAGCTGGGACTACAGGCCCGGCTATTTTTTGGTTGCAGCCGTCATTGTTGTTTGACAGGCCCGGCTGGATTCGAACCCACCAGCTCAAGTGTATGTGGGTGGTGCCTTAGCCTCTTGAGCCACAGGCGCCGAGCCAGGAAATTAAGATTTAAGGATCAAATAGTAAGTGGCAGAATTGAAAGTACAGCATTTCTTTCACCATGTGTTTTCTGATATTTTAAAAAGTTATCATTTTTTTTTTGAGACAGTCTTGCTCTGTCATTCTGGGTAGAGTGCTGTCATCATTGTTCACAGCAACCTCAAACTCCTGGGCTCATTCAAGTGTCATTGTCCTGCCTCAGCCTCCCAGTAGCTGGAACTACAGGCAGTGCCACAACACCTAGCTAATTTTTCTACTTTTAGTAGAAATGGGGTCTGACTCTTGCTCAGGCTCGCCTTGAAGTCCTGAGGTTAAGCCATCTTCCCACTTAGCCTTCCAGGGTGCTAGGCTTCAACTGTGAGCCACTATGACCGGCCTTTGAATTATACAATATTTAAAAAATTAGGTCTTGGTTAGCAGTGGACAATACTTCATTAAGTTGTTGTGATACCTAAGAATATCTTTAAACAAATTTTAGTGACTATTTATATCTGTTGAAATATTTATATACAAAACATTAAAGCAACCTTCATTGTTGTTCTCTGCAAATAGTAGTTGGCATTTTAATGGAGGTGATAAAAGATTGATGAAAGTGTTATCTTCAGCCTTTCTAGAACATTTAAACATGAAGATCAGCTGACATTCTGTGCCTATGGTATGCATGCATCATTGTCATTGTTTTTATATAGTTGCAATGTAAATTCATGATCTACCTGCAGAATTATGGAAAATAAACAAGCCAATTCTTTTTGTTTTGAGACAGAGTTTCATTATGTCACCCTTGGTAGAGTGCTGTGGCGTCACAGCTCCTAGCAACCTCAAACTCTCAGGTTGCAACAATTCTTTTTTTTTTT